GCTGACTTGCTTTACAAGTTATTCCAAATAAAAGTTTTGAAAATTGTGACCTTTTGTGGGTGAGGTACCAGAAGGGGTTCGGGGTTACAAAAAAAAAATCGAACATTTATATCCAATTTTATGAAAAAACATAAATTCCATATTCATCTCAGGTTTAAATAAATATTTAGATATTGCAAGTTGTAAAAAATCGCTGACTTGCTTTACAAGTTGTGCCAAATAAAAGTTTTGAAAATTGTGACCATTTGTGGGTGAGGTACCAGAAGGGGTTCTCAGATATGTATCATCTTAACAACATATCTTGTCTTAACAAAAATGTTTGTATGTATATAATTTAAAGAGAGAGAGAGAAAGAAAAAAAGTTGAAACTAATTACGCTTTCTCTGAGCGTGTTGTTTTTCAAATTCGTGAACCCTGTGTGGGGCAGGTACCAGAAAAAGTGGTCCGATATACCAACTTTATAATATATCTTGTGTTGATGGAAATATTGAAATGTACAAAGCCTGAATGAAATCTGATGTTAATTTCGCGTTTTATGAGCTCCATGGATATTCAAAATTTTGACCCTTTGTGGTGAAGTACCAGAAGGAGTGGACCGATATATCCCATCTTCACAGCAGATTTTGTGTTAGTAGAAATAATGGTGTGTGTGTAGTATAAAGAGATCCGGATGCTTATTTCGAAATTTGTAATCATTTTTGTTATTTAAAACTTTTTGACCCTCTATGGGGCAAATAACAGAAGGAATGTCCGATCTCTACCATCTTTATAACAGATCTTGTGTTGATGGAAATATTGAGATTTGGCAAGTCTGAATGAATTCGATTGTTAATTTCGCGTTAATGGGCTTTATGGATTCAAAATGTTGGCCCTTTGTGGGGAAGTACCGCAAGGAATGGACCGATATATTCCATCTTCACACCAGACCTTGGGTTAATAAAAATATTGGGATATGTGAAATTTGAAGACAATCAGACCCTTATATCATAGTGTATACGAATTATAATTATTCAAAATTCTGACCCTTTATGGGGAAGGTACTTGATGGAGTGTATCGATTTTGTCTACTTTTGTACCTGGGTATTTGAAATTTGAAGGCAATCAGACCCTTGTATCATAATTTATAAGAATTATAATTATTCAAAATTCTAACCCTTTGTGGCGAAGGTACTTGATTGAGTGTATCGATTTTGTTTATTTTTGTACCTGACCTAACACTGATGCAAATATTAGGATTTGCAAAGTTGAAGCAAAATTGGATTATCGTTTCTTTTTTTGTACAGAAAATATTTTTTTTAATGTCGACCATTTGTGGGGGAGTTACAAGAGGGACAGAACCGATATTGCCCATCTTCGAAATCGATCTAAGTTTGATAATAATATTACGAAGAACCAAGTTTGAACCAAATCGGATACTCTCTTCAAGAGTTATCGTATGCACCAATCAGACAGAGTGACGGATCTAGGGATCGACTCTCAATGTCCTGAAACGGATTTGGTCCAAAGAGACTTAGAACCGTTATTTCGATTATTTAACAGCATTTTATTCATTCCGTGTAGGTAAGGTACGCATTTTCAAAACCAGCTCCATCTCTCAACCACAGGCATCACCATTGACATCCATATCAAATTTCAGGATGTAAGTTCTATTCCTTCACCCATTACCAAATTTAGTACTTCTCGTACAATTATAGTAGACATTTCCAAATCCTAATCCCAGATACTAACAGAGACCTCAATATCACATTTTTGAATTTCATCTCTAACCATTCACCCAGAACCAGAAATAGTAATATTCAGTACTTTTCGTAGAATTATAGTACAAATTTCCAAAACCACATGAACAGCGACTCTAATACCAAATTTCAAACACTACCTGTTCACTCAATAACAAATTATACCAAATATAGTAATATTTAGTATTTTATTGCGTTTGTAGAATACATTAGAAAAATTACCCCTTTATAACAAAAATACCTAAATTCTAGCTTCATCCGTTCACCCTAAGCATAACTATTCCCAATTTACAATCATTTAATACAGTTCGCAAACTTTCTAAAACCACCTTCATACATCAATCTTACTTTCCAACCTTGATTCTCATATCAAATTTCACGTTTTTAGCTCCATTTGTTCACATAATACCAAATGGTTCCATTTTAGAACTTTAGAACCATTCTAGAACTTTTCGTAATCTTAAAATTCGAATTTTCAAAAGTCTATTAAACATTTATCCTGCACTCCATAAGTGAATTTCATTCCCAATTTCTGAATTCTGGCCCATGTAGTTTGTCCAATAAACTCAATTTTTAGTCCATATAAGTAGTTTTCGTATTCTTGTAGTTCGAATTTCCAAAAACCCAGACTCGAAAAACTATATACTATAAACTATGTATTTTTTTGGAAGTAAAAAATCTAAATAGTTTTGGTATCAAGTTTTTTGCTTTATCCGTTCACATAATGCGGAATGGTTAATTTTTTGAAAATTTAGTACCAATTTAGAACTTTTCGTAATGTTAAAATTCGAATTTTGAAAGCCTTTTGGTACATCTATCCTGCACTCTATAAGTGAATTTCATTCCAAATTTCTGAATTTTAGATCATTTCGTATGTAAGTATTCAATTTGTAGTACATAAATATACTTTTCGTACTCTTTTAGTACGAATTTCCAAACAAAAACCAGTAAAGAAAGTCCTAAAGTCGGGCGGGGCCGATTTTCTGATTCCCTACACCACTTTGCTAATTTAGTTGAGCTCCCCTTAATAATTAAAAGTTTTTATGGGAGAATTCAATCATACACGCTATGAATATAAATATAATTTAAAGTTCAAAGGACTAAATATGCCGAAGCATTTGTATCTTTTAAATTCGGACTTGTATTGCCCATTTGGTGCAAAATTAATTTGAAATCAGATAAAGATATATATGGGAACTATATCCAAATCTGAACCGATCTCGATAAAAGTTGGCAAAAATAAATATCTGAGCTGTATTTGATATATTTCCCTGAATATCGTTGTTACGGAGTGCATATTACGGCTGTGGGTAACAAATACAATAAATCGGATGAACAATATATATGGGAGCTATAACTATATCTGAACCGATCTTCACCAAATTTGACACACTAGCTTCTAGACTCAATTCGGCCGTAAGTGCCAAATTCCATCCCATTTGGACAAATATTAGACGTTTGGTGCACAATAAAAGGTAAATCGGACGAAGTTATATATGGGAGCTATATCCAAATCTGAACCGATCTCGATAAAATTTGGCAAAGATATTTCTGAGCTGTATTTGATATATTTCCCTGAATATCGTTGTTACGGAGTGCATATTACGGCTGTGGGTAATAAATACAATAAATCGGATGAACAATATATATGGGAGCTATAACTATATCTGAACCGATCTTCACCAAATTTGGCATACTACCTTCTAGACTAAATTCGGTCGTATGTGCCAAATTCCATCCCATTTGGACAAATATTAGACGTTTGGTGCACAATAAATGGTAAATCGGACGAAGTTATATATGGGAGCTATATCCAAATCTGAACCGATCTCGATAAAATTTGGCAAAGATATTTCTGAGCTGTATTTGATATATTTCCCTGAATATCGTTGTTACGGAGTGCATATAACGGCTGTAGGTAACAAATACAACAAATCGGATGAACAATATATATGGGAGCTATAGCTACATCTGAACCGATTCACCAAATTTGGCATACTACCTTCTAGACTAAATTCGGTCGTATGTGCCAAATTCCATCCCATTTGGGCAAATATTAGATATTTATATATTTAGATATAAATATTTCATACTATTCGGGCTGATATTACACGTTTGGTGCACAATAAAAGGCAAATCGGACGAAGATATATATGGGAGCTATATCTAAATTTTTACCGATTATCTCCAATTTCAATAGGGTTCGTCCTTGGGCCAAACAAATGTTGTTTGCAAAGTTTCATCTCAATCGGATAATAAATGCGACCTGCATTTTGTTCACAAGAATACATGGACAGACGGACGGACGGACGGACAGACGGACTGACATGCATAAATCAACTCAGAAAGTGATTCTATGCAGATCATCAAAAGGAACTATGGGTCTATCTCGTTTCCTTTTGCCTGTTACAAACAAATGCACAAAGACATAATACCCTGACCACCTTGTGGTGTAGGGTATAAACAGATGTAGTAAAGGAAAGAAGTAAAATTCTAAATTGGTTTATAGTTAAATATATGTGACAAAATCACGCAAGAGTTCTACCAAATTTAAAAATGTTAAATTTTCCGCTGAATCTGCAAAGTTTTGTATCCAAATTTGTAATTTTAATTTGAAAAAACATCTCTTTTTATCTCATACTCGTTTAATTTTATTGCTGTTTAAAATGAAAAATTGTGAGATTTTTTTTTCAATCCATATTGAACAATAACATATTTTAAATGGGAATTTTAGCACAATCACAAAACTAAAGAAATCGAAAGAATTCATATTCAAATTCACTCACGCTTGAACTACATTTATCTAATTAACTAAACGTTTCATTAACCCACTAACCCAAAGTAAATAAATATTATAAACAGGAAATGGAATGCACATCTGTATTCCAAACCATGTACATACATATTTTACTGGCCAACGAGGCTGGCCAGCTAGCCATGCAGCCAGCATCTATGCAAATGAATGTAAAATTTCGTAAAACTTGCCGAACAAGAAACAAAATTTCGTAAAATTGCCAAATATTTGTAAGTGCTTAACGTTCAATGATGTTTGAAATGTCTATGGGTCAGCTAAAATGTTAATGCATGGACGCATGCGTCTTGAGTCAATACAACACAACATTTATTCAACAACACTTGAAGAAGCCAATCAATTAGATTATTTGAATATCAATATTTTCCAGGCAGTGGTTTGAAATCAACAAACTGTATTGTTTTTGGAAATAAAATAAGATAACATTTTTAACTTTTTTTTTTCAAACATACCTTAGTTGAAAGGTTTTTTTTTAATTTTTTTTAATAACACAGTCGAGTTAAAGTGTTATTTTTATGTTAAACGTTTGAAGTTTTGAATAATATCTTTTCAATAATATCTTTATTTTTTGAAGATTTTCTTTAAAAATATTTTTATTTTAAAAATATATTTTCAATGTTTCATTTATTCACTTCCACACACACATATACACGATTTTGAAATTTCAAAGAATTGTTGTTTGGTTTTTTTTTTCTTCTTTTGTTTCGATTTTGAATTCAAGTTTTGATTTTCTTTGTTTTCTTGACTTTGGATTACACCGAACCTTGCCGTTCGGTAGCCAGATGCTGAATGATCTAAAGCGGCAAATGACACGTCTAATGTAGACTTGTTGTGTATGTTGGTCTTTCGGCCAAACTGTGTAAAGACTCCAAATGTTTTATTAAGGTTGTCTCAAGACACATTCGAAGTTAACGTTTTATTAATGCTTGAGAGGTGTGCTGAGTTAGGTAAACGTAAACGTAAGGTATACACGTAAATATGTTTGAAACCTATAACAAAATGAATTTTTATAACTTTGCAAGTATAGATCTGTAATGACATATTAAAATTCATTTCACTTGAATTTTTTTTTTTTTTTTTTGATATCGAATGAGAGATTTTGTTGTAGGCCTGGGCCTTAATTCTTGTTCTATGAAAATTTGAAATGAAACTTTTATAAAGGAAAGAGATGTCATATGAAAAATTTTATAAAGGAAATATTTTTTATTTCATATTTTCATTGAACAAGAATCCAGCCGCTGATTTTAAGATTATAACTCAATTAAATATATTTTCCTTAAGGAAAGATTCTTAAAAATTTGTAAAAAAAAAAAACAAAAAAAAAAAAAGCTGTAAGTTCGGCCGGGTCGAACGAATGGGGGGCTATACGAAGACGTGGACCTGCACACACAATTTTCTGTCATAGGCTGTAGTATCCATTACGAACATCAAATACCAAATTCGAACAATTCCGGTGAATAATGTCGCTAAAATCATCAAAATACCGAATATCGGCTGGTACTACTATATGGGGACTACACCAAAACGCGAACTTGTGGTTTTCCAGCCAAATATAAAGAAACACTGGAATTTCATCACGAACATTTTTTTTTTTGGGAAAATTCTCACCAAAATGCTTTTGTACGTTGTAAACAATATAATGAGCTGTCACTGGAATAACTTTAACAGCTGTCGGACTAGTGGCAGCAGTCTGAATTTGGTTGCAGTTTTTTCATCTCTGACTGTATAGTACTAAATTTGATATTGTACGAATGAATAGAGCTGAAATTTTCTTTTAGAGGTCACTTTTGGTTTCTAGGGTTAACATGTGGAGACGTTTAAATAGTTTTGGATAGAAAAATTGGATCGACCCACATCCAATTTTTCTTCAATGATTTTACTAATATCCTCCTCGGTAAACGTCAAAATGAATGTTTTTGAAGAAAGTAAAAGATAACTATTTTCGTATTATTGAAAGTCTGAAAATGTAGTACTATGTATGAAGGTTTGATTAAAAAATTTTGTCATACTGAACAAATTGTGCATTTTGTGTACTAAAAAGGACTAACACGAACTGTTGGAACGAACCTTATTAAATGCAGATTATACATCTGCAGTCTCTTCAAAAAATATTGTCAAAAATCCATGCTTATACTTCTAAAGATCTTAAAATATCTTTTTAAAATCTACGTTGATTATTGAAAAACAATTTAAAAAAAATTGAAAAATATTTTCAAAAAAATGTTTTTTGATTGCTGTTGAAAAATGGTTTTAAAATAATTTACGGTAAAAATGGGGTACCAATTCCTCAAAAAATATTCCTAAAAATCCAAGATTGTGCTTCTGAACTTTTAAAGTATATTTTTTAAATCTACATATAATATTGAAAAATAATTTAAAAAATCGAAAAAATATTGATTTTTCAACAATTTAATATTATTGAAAAATAAAAACGCACGGATTATTTTGGTAAAAAGTTTTAAACCTTCAAACGAGTCAAGAAATTGGTCTTTTTGCTCCTTATTTGAAAATATGGATAGGAACTCCCTTAAAACGGGATCGTAGCAGGTTACAAATATTAGCCATTATTTTGGTAAAAAGTTTTAAACAAATAAAAAAAGTCAAGAAATAGGTCTTTTTGCTCCTTATTTGAAAATATGGATAGGAACTCCCTTAAAACAGGATCGTAGCAGGTTACAATTATTAGCCATAAAATTCTAGAAGATGTCAGAAGTCTAAATCATACCTAAAAATAAAGAATTCATATATATTAAAAATCCCTTTTAACGATTAAAGTCGTTGTTTATGTAAGTCTACTACAAAGCTTCGTTTTAAAGGGATGACGTCGGAGAGAAAGGGATCTCTGTTTCCATTGCATACCAAATTAATGTTTGCATCAATGTTGAAAAAAAATGACGAAAGTATTTCCACCTTTTTTCATTTAAATTATTTCGATTTAAAAAAAAATATTTCTAAAAAAGTGCAATACAACTTGTAAAAATACAACTCACTATTTCAAAGTTATTAGCCCTACGAATAATTATACTTAAAAAACCTATGAATAAAATACATATGTTTTATTCATTTTGTTTTTTTTTATTGCAGAAGACCTATTCTTACAATGACTTTTTTCTCTGCTTAGGACCGTCACAAGTAAACTAGAGAACTATGAACATACTCCATTGTTGAATATCTGTATGATTACAAGCGGTTTTTATTAATATTATAAATAATTATTTTAAGATATTTTCAAGCAATACCTTTAAAATTCTACAGCTATACCAGTATATAACTTTAATCATATTTAACAAACATAGAATAAATACATTGAAATTACTATAAAATTAAATATAAAAACATAAATAAAAGAGTTATGCTTATTCCTTGAGGATTTCTATCAACTCCGATGTTTCAGTATGTTCAGTATTTTCGGCTACCTCATCATCAGACTCAGCGTCATCCTAGATGAAGTAAATATAAAAATTAAGTAAAAAGGAAGATTATATTTTAGGCAAAACAACTTACATCAAAACCAAAACAATCCTCGGTAATAGCCTTTAAAGCCGAAGTTTTTGATTTGCCTGTAAATAAAATAAACATAAATTAGTTCATTAATAAATAAGAAGTCTCTGGGGAAAGCTTTTTACACTACACTCACTTATAACAGAAGGTGCTGGGTTGGTAATCTTTGGTTGTTTTTCTGGTGAATTTTGGCAAAACTCCTGTTGTCCCTCCAAGTCGACTTCTTCAGCATCTTGCATCACTTCAATGATCATATATTCATCATCTTCTGTTGCAACCACAGATTCTTTCTCTTTCTTTACATTTAATTCAGCTGGCAAATCAATTGTCGTAAATTCTCGATTACATTTTTCTGTTTTTATTACAAACTGTGGTTTTTCATCCTCCTCTTCGTAGTATTCCAATTCCTGATAGTTTTCATCGTATTCCTCCTCTTCCTCTGGTTCTTCCTCTTCTGGCTCATAATCCTCGTATACGTATTGTACAGGTTCGCCATTTTCATCTTCAAAGATAACATTTTCTTGATTATCGGCTGACATTTCACGTTCATTAGTGGCATTCACCACCTCATCTTCGTTGTAAATAAAGGAACTTTTTATTTGTGTGACCACTGTACCATCTGGTTGTACCCGTTTTAAACGACCCATTTTTATTTTAAGTTTCTCCTCATTTATTTTAGAATTGGGATCATGAGTTTCCATGTGGCGCATTAGATTGCCTTTAAAGGCAAATGCCCGCTCACAGTGTGGACACACGTGACCCTTTTTCAGGGGTTTTGGTGGCTCATAATTTGCCGTATGATACAATTTCATGTGACGTGCAAGCAATTGTTTTTGGCGGAAGGACTGTTGACAGAGGTCGCATACAAAGGGTTTGGTATCTGTGTGTATTAGCATGTGAGTGTCCAGTAGACGTTGTGATATGGAGGCATATGGGCAATATGTGCAGCTAAAAGTAAAAAAATGAAATGTTAACAAGTATAATTTAAAAAGAAGGGTAAAAGTCTTGTTATAAGCAGCTATAACTCACCGATAACATTTCTCTCCTTCGTGTGTTTTAACATGCATTTTATACTGATAACGATCGGGCAATTCTTTGCCACAACGTTTGCAGGGAAATGGCGTCTCAGAATTATGCAATTTCTGGATGTGCAAACGTAAATCTGTTTTACGTCCACACGTTGTGGGACACAAGTTACATTGGAATACCGGCTTATCATTGACCGAGTGTATAAGACGATGATATTTCAGTGAATTCGATTGTGTAAATCTGGCATGGCAAATATCGCATTCATATGGCTTTTCACCGGTATGGGTGCGCATGTGACGTTTCAATTTAAAGGTATCTGGAGAAGCATAGGTGCAATGAGGACATTGGTAGGGCCTTTCTCCCGTATGACAACGCATATGGCGACGAAGTTTACTTAACTCCACACTACTATAATCACATTCAGTACATTTGTGGGGTTTTACGAGGGTGTGACGGTAACGTCTGTGCCTTGTCAATTCACCCGATGTGGTAAAGCTCATTTCACAATCGCCACATTTATAGGGTTTGTTGCCCAAATGGGTATTTATGTGGTTCATCAGAGAATTGTGAGTTTTGAAACCCCTCTCGCAAACAGAACATTTATAGGGTCTGTCATCGGAATGTGTCCTAAAGTGACGCGTCAAAAGAAATTTCTTATTTGTGCTATAGTCACAGATCTGACACTTAAATTGGCCCTCAGAATCAGGAGTAATATGAAGTGGTTTAAGCAATACTTCGCTCTCGATGACACCTTCTTCTTTGCTCTCGTCCACGGTAAAATCTGCCCCATTCACAGTTCTTTCAGTTTCATCGAAATCGTAGACCTCACCATTAGCTTCGGAGGCTTCAGAGGCTATTGTTTGATCTACCGTCGATGCTGTTATATTGGCATCAGTTGTATCGGTCGGCTCAGTTTTTGTTGTCACATTGAGCTCTGTGGCTTTTCGTCCTCTGGTTCGAACTGTTGTAGCCCTTGGAGAAATAGTCGCCTTTTTAATAGCCGTTTGCTTTCTGGCTGTGGTTTTTGTTTTTTCAGGACTTGCGGGTGTTTCAGCTTTTGTTTCTTTAGGTTTCTTTTGTATATCAAGATATTTTAATATTGAATTATTGCCTGCATTTTTATTTCTAGAATTAGTTTTTGTGGATTTTGTCGGACTAGGTGGTTTAGGACTTTCCTTACTAGTGTTGAGTTTTTCCTTTTTAACAGGACGTTGTGGAGATTGAGCTGGAATTGTAAAATTATTTTTGTATTAAATTTGCATTGTTTTGTGCTTTGGCCAGTATTGTGGCAACTTTATAATAAAAACAAGTAAGCAAAGGATATAGTCGTGCGGGGCCGACTATGTGATACCCTACAACACTACAATATGTTAGAAGCCCCCTCATGTCCAAATCCATTTTGGATGATTTCGCTTTTGAAATTATGTCACGGAGCACTCCCCAGATATTACCCTTAGCATTTTGACCAGGGACATTTTTCCAATATTTATGCAATGGTCATCCAAAATGCTAGAATTCTTCACTGTGCTTAACTATCTTCTCAGGCGTGTCGATTGGCTTGTTATCATGATTTTTTCTGTTTTAGTTTCATTTGAACCCATAAATATTTTGCGATCATCTCCAAAAGCAATTTGGCAATATTCGTCAACGAAATCAGCATAAAAGAGCCAGAAGTTCGCCTTTTGTGTATTTCGGATATCGCCTGTAAGTAATGATAGTATTTTTTCACACAAAAGTAGTGGTCCATTCTAACCGCTATCTCAATTTCTAACTTCATGCAAGATTTCGTGTCCTTTGGTTTCTATGTGTGGCCTTTATAACGGCTGCAAAATCAGGAACATTTTGAGTTGCTGGTCCATTTCAACCCCTAAATATATTGCGGACATCTTTGAAAACAATAGGTTTAGCCCTTCTGAACCTAACCCTACCTTTGTCAAAAATTTCGTGAGGATCGAATGATAATTGCAATCTGTGTATAAATAACAACCCCAAACTGTTTTGTAAAGTGCAAAAATATTACAAAATATACACTTCAATATTATAAGTCAAATTGAAAAAATCGCATGCGATAAAAAATATGAAAAATAAAAAAAATTACACAAAATACTACAAAATCTATATTAACATCATTATTGGTATCTTTTTATGCGATTTTTTTAGATTTTATACTTTTATGCCGAAAGGGCATTCTAAATTTAGAAAATTTGTCAAAATCGCTCCAGCCATTCTGGAGATATAAGCATTCTAGCTAACATCCCCTTCCTTTGTACATATACATTGTATATATTTCGCTATATATATCCGATATTTTTACTATCGGCATCTACGTAACGGTCAGAATTGACCTGTTCGTCTATTTTTGATTTCGCCGGCATTAAAAATATTCGCGGTTTAATGGAAAATTTGACTTTTATTTATCACAAATGTTATGGTCTATTTCAACCACTAAATATTACCCGATGACCATCAAAATTGGAAGGCTTCTGCATAGCCCAAAGCTCTAGCCCCATGCTAACTTTCGCTTCGATTGGTCTATAATTGTGACCTGTAGATCAACTGCAAAATCAGGAAATTTTTCCATTTTAACCCCTTAATATTGTGCGATCATCTCCAAAAGAAATAGGGTTCTTTTCTTACCTTAACCCCACCTACATTTTAAATTTCGTGAAGATCGGGCCATAATTGCGACCTGTAGAGTGATTACAAATTAACATGGACAGACGGACAAACGGACAGACGGAGATCGACTAGATCGACTCAGCTCGGCGAGATAGGAAGATCCATATATACTTTCCTATGTTGGAAATCAATATTTCGTGGTGTTACATAATTTTTGGCCCAATCAAACTTATAATACCCCCAACACAAAGTGTTGTAGGGTATAAATATAAAAGTTACATACATAGTTTTCTTTTCTTTACTGCAGCAGCCACTGATTTTACAATGGATTTCTCTTTTTTTACAGGTTTTACTTGAACTGCCTTTTTACCGCTTTGATAGTAATAATTTCCTTCCTCATCCATAAATATGGTACCATCTTCTAGTTCGGCATCATCCAAAGCGTCGTCATCTTCAACATCATCTTGCTCTTTATTTGCATTTAAAATACAATTAAAAATTTATTATTTAAGAAAAGGTCATATTAAATGTAATATACCTTGTTGTTTTTCCTCTTCTTCGTTGGCAACCTCCGAATAAATCGCTGTGATATCCTCTTCAACATGTTTCTCCAGTTCATCCAAATATGATTCCAGATCCGAATTATCCTCAGCCATGCTCTGGTAACAAGAGTAAAATGTAATTAGAAAACGCGCCTTGGTTTAAATTTAAATTCGAATTGTTTTAGTTGATTCTCCCCAACAGCAATTGTTTTGCCCCAGATGTCGTAGTTGGATACATCTACAAATAATAGATATCGCCCCCTGTCATCAAATTGTCAGAATTTAGCAACACGTATTGCAATTCTCTACAGAGACGAGGTATGGGGTATTCTTTTTTGGCATGGATGACTTGCAAATATATTCTGCAAATTAAGTATGGCTAAAATTGATTGCACTTAAAACAGATTGGTCTTTGTAAAAGGGTGAAGCCTTATTGGCGCCCTTTTTCCAATTATTTTTATGTGTATTATGCGACACCATGCGGCGGCCGACTCTTACTTTATGGTACACACACAATTCACCGAATGACGATGGTGTCGCTTTTTGTTATTGATTTTTTTCTGTCGAATTTCATTTTTTGATGCGAACATTTTCGTTCAATTTATTTGAAATATGTCTTAACACACACCTTTTGTTGATATTATTCGTGTTGAATTAATGCGTTTGCAGGATATTGAATACTTTAATGCTAAAATAATTTTCTCGGTCAAACAATTGTGTTTAATATTTTCTCCGTCAGGTAAATATAGAATGGAGAGTTTGTTTGATGCACAGGGTTGTATTTACAGTAGTTGCAATCGAAATAAAATTCGTTCCCCTAAACGACAAACTGTGTAAAAACGGCTTAAAATGGACAAAAGAAAGCGCTGGCGTTTGTTTGCACAACAACTGTAAGTATTAATTTAAATAAATAAAATAATAAATATTCACGACAATTATTCAAGAAACATGTGATGTTGGAGTACTTTACCAAACAACATGCTTGACTGCATTTGAAAATGTATGTGAAAATGTTGCTAGTTGATGCAGTGTTTCCGTCTGTTGACTGTGGTGGTGGTTTATGAGTCCAGAAAATCCTTCCGAGAATAAGTACCTACGTAAATTTGCCTGAAGTTCTTGAAGTTCAATATATGGTTTTTAAATATGTAATAATATAATGTAATAATAATTGGAAATTGTTATCGTTCATTGTGGTTGGGTTTTTGAATTTGTTCATACAATGACAAGTTAAATTATAAATCATCTTTCGCAAAAGAGTCACTGGGAAAACACCAACACAGGGATGGAGAAAAATGCTTTGGAATGGGGTATAAATAATTATTTATGAATCATAAAGGGTGAACTGTCCTGAAATTCAGCGCATATCATGATAAAATAATAGAGGTAGTCGCTGATAAAATTTACTGTCAAACCAATTTTGGAATTGAAAATTTGTAATATAAAAGTATTGATGCCCAGGTTTGCATTTTCCGTAATTAAAATCAAAAATAGGTCAAACATTAAATCGTGGTTTCGGGGTTGAAATACAACACTGTTGTCACTTGTAGCTGATAACAGTGTTGTATTTTCACTCCAAAGTCACAAAATAAGCCTTGATCTGTTTCACCCCATGGTAAATTCAAGAAGAAAATGGTATTTCAAATAAGACTATCCAAATCTTCATTTTCTGTAATTTACCTTCTCAAATTTCACTGAATAAGAAACAGGTTCCCATCTTTGACATTGAGTATAGACAATAGATTTATAAATATAAATTTTGACAATAGGATGTTGTCAAATGAATAATTTTGAAAAATTGTAAACATATGATTGCATGACTTTACCATCCTAACTCCACCATGCTTTACCCTTAACTCTGTCAAATTAAACTGGATCTAACTAACAGCTTTCATGTATATATATTTCATTTATTATATAAACGTTGTAAAACATATTTTGACAATAAAAAAATCAGAAACTTATAATTGAACGAGGCTACCTTCTTAATTTTACCATAAATACAAGTTTGAACATGGTACAATAAAAAGGTAAGGTAGAGCTTCCAGCTTATTACATTTTTTTCTAAGTGTGCCCGGCATATGCCAATTTTGTGTATGTATTAATTGTTTTGAAAAATAAAAACAAAACATTTTGAAAATCAATGATTGGAAGAAACTTAATTTGCAGGGCGCGTATTAATAATATTAACCAGATTTGCCATGGAATTGAAAGATTGAACACGTAGGATCATATTTTTGAGAGAACGTCCAGGCATTTAATTCATCTTTCGCGATATTTGATTCATTTTAGAAGTGATCAAAAAGTACTAAATAAATGAAAACAACTTATTGCCTATAATTTTGAATAATTTACAGAAAGCGGGCATAGCCTCAGAGCTGTATTTCTGTAGTTTTACGAAGCTGCTCTACCTCATTATTGTATTGAAATTTGTTATTATCGGAAAAGAAAACATCTGAATTTTTGTGATGTTCACACTAGAGCTTTTTGGCTCCTGTCAAATTTAACTTTATAAAGATTTCTTAAGTGTATAAACAATTGGGTTGACAATCAGACTACCTTGTAGCATGGTACAATAAAAAGGTAAGGTAGAGCTAACTACAATTTTTTTCTAGTGTGCCCAACTTCTGCCAATTTTGTGTACGTATTTATTATTTTGAAAAATGAAAAAAAAAAAAAAATATTTTCACAACCAATGATTGGAAGACACATAAATTGCGGCACGCGCATTAAAGCTATTAGCCAATATAGTCATGAAATTGAATGATTGAACAGTTAGGATCATATTTTTGAGAGAAAAATCCAGACATTTCATTCATTTTTCGGGCTTTTTAACTCATTTGAAAAATTAGGAAAAATATGAAAAAAAAAAAAAAAAAACAATTTTGAATGAGTCTGACAGGAAGCGGGCATAGCCTCAGGGCTGTATTTTTGTAGTTTTACGAAGCTGTTCTCCTTATTGTACCATGCCTTGTAGTATGGTAGAATAAGGAATTTGGAACAGCTTTGTAAAACTTCAGAAATAGAACCCTGAAGCTATGCCCGCTTCCGGTCAGACTCATTCAAAATTATATGCGACAAAATGTTTTCATTTTTTCCTCATCAGCGGGAAAAATGAAAGAAATACCTGGGTTTTCTCTCGAATATATGATCCAAACTGTTCGATCTTTCAATTTCATGGCTAAACTGGTTAATAGCTTTAATGCACGAGCTGCAGTGTACGTGTCATCCGATCTCTGGTTTTGAAAGTATTTTGTTTTCATTTTTCAAAACAATTAAAACATATACAAATTGCTAGAAGTCGTGCACACTTAGAAAAAAATTGTAATCAGCCGGTAGCTCTACCCTACCTTCTTATTTTACCATGCCTTCGACTAACTAAAACCAGTACAATGTAAACGTTCTATAAATTAGTGTATGATTCTCTTATTGTTAGCTTAACTCATGGTAGAAGAATATAGGTAGACGCACCGACGCAGCAGCTGGGACAATGAGCTGTCAAACCAATTTTGGAATTGAAAATGTTGAATGAAAAATTATTTAAATTTGTAAAAATTGTTGAAAAACACGAATTATAATAGCTTCCGAATGACGTCGTATAAGAAAACATACATAAATCTTCGTATATTTGAAAAACATTTAAATTTTTTGACATATCAATGCTCCCAAGTGTTGATGCATCTACCTGTATTCTGCTGTCATGGTTTAGCTATAGTGTGCACATTCTCTTCTCCTGGAGTTGTCATAATACAAAAGTCAAGTAGATAAACACGCATGGTAGAAGAATATAGGTAGACGCGTCGACACAGCTGCTGGGACAATGAACTGTCAAACCAATTTTGGAATTGAAAATGTTGAATGAAAAATTATTTAAATTTGTAAAAATTGTTGAAAAACGCGAATTATAATAGCCTCCGAATGACGTAGTATAAGAAAACATATAAAAATCTACTTATATTTGAAAAAACATTTAATTTTTTTTTGGCATATCAATGCCCCCAAGCGTTGATGCATCTACCTGTATTCTTCTGCCATGTAAACACGTATAAAAATAATAAGAATTGCTCTATTAACATTTACTATCACTCAACAGAAAAAAATAACTTGAAATAAAAAAATAAATTCTTAAATGAAACGTTGTTCTATTGACTACCTCGCTTCTCGCTGTTTTCATGTAACTCAAAAAGATTTTTAATGAAAACGGTCGTGTAAATGGCAATAGCAAATAGAATTATATAAACAATGCGATTTAAACATTTCATTTGCTTCTGTTCACCTTCGTCATAATAAAAATTCTCTTTGCAGTAGATATTGTAATTATCTTTGTAATATCCAAAGTCGTTTGGCTCGATTAGAACACTTTGTGGCATACCATCAATAGCATCGTAGTTTTCGTTACATAAAACCGATGATTCACAATCGTTTTCACAGGTCTGTGAGGCATTGGTACTCATGAATGATTCTTCATCGTTGTGTCTACTGTCCACTGAATTATTGCAACCTATAAAAGAATTTTGAGACTGGCGATGCGACAGAATATTATCCAAATAATTAAAAACTTCAGGTGTTTCGTAAATAGTATTGTCATCCACATCACAGCATTCGATTTCAGTTACCTCAATGACTGTCTCAACTACCATAATCTGAAAATATTATTTTTTTTATAAATTTTTGTTTTTTATTTAAAACTGTGTCACTTACTGCAGATATTGTTATGAATAATTTCCATTAATCTTAGTTCTCTAATCGTTCAATTATAACTGAACTGTCATGTAAAAAAACGGATGTGTCTAGTGCCAAGCAGCAGTATAACAAATGTAAAGATTTTATATAAATATCAGAAAAAAGAAAAAAAAAAAAAAAAACAATTGTGGTTAAGATGAGCGTAGCTGACTTCTAGATTTCATTTTTTTTTTTAATTCACAAAAAATGCTCTTCTGGTTTTATATCTATAGGGGCATGAATTTTGGTTTTAAATATTTTTTAAACATGTATTTTTTGCGTGATGGTACAATGACAGGAGGTAGATTAAAGCTACCTCTAAAATACACTTTCGTTTGTGTGCCAATTCTGACAAAATAAGTACACACTTTCGTTTTTGGTAGAACTGAGGAGGTATCGGCATGCAATCACATGTTCGATTTTTTCCAAAATTATATATCGCATTATCAAATCCATTGTATATACACAAATCAGAGATGGGAGCATATTGTCAATGAAGTCAAATTGAACAATATTAAAAAGGGGAAAATATATAGCTGCATCATGGTACAATAAGGAGGTAGAAAAGATTCGTAAAACTAGATAAATACAGTCCTGACGCTATGCCCGCTTCCTGTCAGAATTACTCAAAATTATATGCAACAAAATGTTTTCATGTATTTGATATAATTTGTTAATTTTTAAAACGAATCGAATAGCGCGAACAATGAATCAAATGCCTGGATGTTCTCTCAAAAATATAATCCTAAGTGTTCAATCTTTCAATTCCATGGCAAATCTGGTTAATATCATTAATGCGCGCCCTGAAATTTAAGTTTATTCCAATGATTGATTTTGAAAATATTTTATTTTTATCTTTCAAAACCACAAATACATATACAAAATTGGCAGAAGTCGGGCACACAAATATTAAACAAATTGTAATCAGCTGGTAGCTCTACCTTACCTTTTTATTGTACCATCGAGCTGCATATTGTCATTTGAAATAAGGTTACCTTGATTTAAGATTACTGTGACAATTTTTTTTGTAAATTACGTTAATTGAATAAATCACAATTTTCGAATACAACAATACCTTTTTCCTATCTTGAATAATCATTTGTCTAAAATCCCAAAATTCCATTTATGTTTTGTATAAAACAAGTAAAATAGTATTGTTCGGTTTTTCCGACAGATGTTTACCCCCAGCCTTGACTTATGATTATTCAAACTGTTGACAATTTATGGGGGAGGTTAGAAAGTTCCGACGTTGGCCAAGTTTGACCAATTCGTATCTGACCCAAGACAAATATAATTATTACAACGTGCCAGATTTAGACTATATCGACTACTTCCTATACTTTATGTGAATTGTGTGTAAATTTTCAGAAATGTGGAAATATGCGTGAGGTAACAGATATAGCGGACGGAAGTATACCATCATTTGGAAATCGAACACTTACAGGATGAGATGAAAAAACTGCAACCAACTGCAGGCTGTTGTCATTTCTAAGCCACTCGTCCGGCAGCTGTTAAAATTATTACAGTGACGGCTCATTATATTGTTTACAAGCGTACAAAACATTTTGGTGAGATTTTTCCAGAAAAAAAGTTATTCGTCATTGAATTTAGGCGTGGTAGTATGATTTCTTTATATTTGGCTGCAAAGCCACAAGTGGCTATCGTTTGAGCACTTCAGTATTTGAAAGTGAATAATTCTTTTGTGTCTCGTATCATCGCACGTTACCGTGATACTGGTAACGTAGCCCGACGTCAAGGAAGTGGACGGAAGAATACAGCAACATCAGCAGAAATGGTTCGAAAAGTAAAGAAGCGACCTGATTGAAAGCCGCGTTGCAGTGGCTGAATAATGGATAGTGAGCTTAACATATCGCAATATTCCATTCGGCAAATATTGAAAAATGAGTTCGGGGTAAAGCCATTGAAATTCTAAAAAGTGCAAGAACTTACACCGCTACAGAAAGAAAATAGACTCAAAAGAGCTAACGAGTTGCTTGAAAGTGGTGAACTGCCGAATTTGGTTTTCTCTGATGAGAAAACATTCGTGGTCCAGCAGTTTGTAAACAAACAAAATGATCGTGTTTACTTGCCAAAGAGGTCAGCTGAAAATGTGCACCCTCAGTTGGCCACCAGAACTCAAGCCCCGGCCTGGTGATGGTGTGGGCCACCATAACTGCCGATGGTCGCTCTCCGGTCGTATTAATCGACCGTGGGATCAGTGTATTAAAGCCTTGGGCACGCAAACCTTTTTTTCCGCAGACCTTGGACATTCCAACAGGACTCAGCAGGCGCCACCCAATAATGTTTACAAAATGAGGTTCCTCGCTTCATTTCCACCGCACAATGGCCATCAAAAATCTCCGGATACCAATCCGTTGGACTATTGTGTCTGGAGTATTTTGGAAAGCAAGGTTGGCACTCATAAATACCAAAGTGTCGATCACCTCAAGCTAGCGCTTCGCCGGAAATGGGCCATTGGTATTTTGATGATTTGCGCCCCGTTTTTTTTCACGAATTAATCTAAAAATTGGTATTTGTAGGTCGCAATGAGTTCTAGCTCCGCTGGCACATCATTCTATGTCCACGTTTTTGATGATATTTGCCACATTTTTCCACCGATTGGTTTAAAAATTGGTATTTGTGATTCGTAATGGGTTCTAGCTCCGGTGGAGGAACATTGTATGTAAAGGTATACGTTTTCATATAGCGCACATACCCACCGATACTCGGTATTTTGATAATCCTAGTCACATTTTATTTTACCCACTAAATTGTTTCAAATTTGGTATTTAAGAAGATTTGGTAGATGACAATTCTTGAAGTATAAAATTGTCTATAGAGGTTCCCGTTTTGGTATGGCCCCCATACAACGAGATCACCCACTTTCTGGATTCGGATTAAAATTGTCATATCCATTATCCATTGCATTGAAGGGATACCATGCATAGACATATAAATATGGCTTCAAAACTAAAATGAGGTTTTAGAGGATTTGAATTCTTGGGGTTTAAATATGATTTAGACTTTTCACGTTACCTGGGACCTAAGTAGGATAAATACATTTTTTGAAGAATGCTATGATCCCTTTTTAAGGGAGTTCTTAACCAAAAAGACTGACTCAGTTGAGGGTTAATTATGCAAAATAATACTGGTATAGCTATCTGTATCAAAAATTAACGGATTCCAAGGAATGTTAATCTGAAATTTTCAAATTACTTAGGTTACTTTGTGATGTAAGCTTTCAAAATGCCGATACTCTTCTCTTCTCTTCTCTTCTGTCTGTCCGTCTGTCTGTTGTAATCACGCTATCTTTCGAATGAATTGAGATAGATGGCTAAAATTTTGCACACATGTTTATTTTTCCAGTAGACAGGTTAAGTTCGTAAATGGGCCATGTAGGTCCACGTTTTCATATAGCCCCCATATAACGGTACCTCCCTAATTTCGGTATTTTGATGATTTTAGCGGCATTATTCACTGGAATTGTTTCAAATTTGCTGTTTGAAGTTTCAAATGGATACTTCAGCCTATGACAGAAAATTGTCTATGCAGGTCCACGTCTTCGTATAGCCCCCATATAACGGAACCTCCCAATATTCGGTATTTTGATGATTTTAGCGTCATTATTCACCGTAGTAGTTTCAAATTACGTATTTAGAGTTCGTAATGGGAACTACAGTCTGTGACAGAAAATTGCCCATGCAGGTCCAGGTCTTCATATAGGCCCCATATATCAGTACCTCCTTATATTCGGTATTTTGGAGATTTTAGGTACAATATGTACCGAAATTGTTTGAGATGTCGTATTTGAAGTTCGTACTGGAAGCTACAGCCTGTGACAGAAAATTGTCTATGCAGGTCCAGGTCTTCGTATAGCTCCTATATAACGGTACCTCCCTATGTACGGTATTTTGATGATTTTGGCTACATTATTCAACGTTTATTTCAAGTTTCGAATTTGAATATGGTAATGGCTTACAGGCCCTAATAACAGAATTTTTGGAGAATGTTATTTTTTTTTTGAAATTTTTCAAATTCGTTCTAAATGGTGGAGGGTATTCAAAGTTCGACCCGGCCGTACTTACTATATTTTTACTTGTTTTGTAGAATCAGCACCGGATTAAAAATATATCCGGTCTTACGGCTAATAATTGTGCATGGGAACCAGAATTACTTTACAGTCGAGTTGACTATTATTATTTCTCCTTCAGAAAATGTAGGAAATTTTTGTGGCACAGTGTAAGGCATTTCATGCGATACCTTTTGCAAGGAAATATGTATATGTTTTTATTGTTCTTTTGCACCTTTCAATTTTATCCTTTTTTGTTTTTCAAAACTTCCGCAAACTTTAAGACAATAGTCACAATAAATATTTCAATTTAATGATCTCTGCCTGCTGGGAGCATGATGCGCGCAGGCATACAATATTATTGCCGCAGTTCAGTGTAGTTAAACAAAAATTGTTCAATAGTCGAAGACAAAAAAAATAAATGTAGTTATTACATCAATACAGTTTTAAAATACCACCTCGATTGTTATTAACGAAATCTCGTCTACATACATTATTATCATTGCTGTTATGGTTGGAGTTCTTTAGTTGTAACGCCGGACAAGAAATACATATATGTATAGGAAAGGAGAACATTGACCACATTTAAGGTCGATGGATTATTTGCTCTGTATGTAATTATTATATAATATTGTTGTATCTTTTTGGTTTTGGTAGTTAATAAAAAAATGTGGATATGCGCTTATTTTTTCGGTAGTATATCAATTGATATATATCAATGTTGATATGTTACAACTAACTAATGAGGCAATGTCGTAATAGTTGTTTGTTATTATACCCTCAGCCATATGGCTACAGAGGGTATATATCATTTGATACGGTCAAAACGTGCCTAGTCGAAATAACGGTTTTAGACTCTAGGTCTCTTTGGATCAAATCCGTTTCAGAACATTTGGAGTCGATCTAGCGATGTCCGTCCGTCCGTCTGTCTGTCTGTCTGGCTGGTACGCACGATAACTCTCGAAGGTAATATCCGATTTGGTTCAAACTTGGTACATCGTAATATTTTT